GTTTAGATTTTCATTTTTGATTCTCACCCAAATAATAATGATCTGCTAACGCTCATTAAAATTGAACCTGGTGAATATTGTTTCTAATAATCTTAACAATTTTATTATTATAATATTGTTTCCAACACAACATCATTATAATAAAATATGAGCAATATAATTAAGATCAAAAGACAATGAACTTTGAAATAAGGAATTCTAAGCATGACCCAGAAGATGCTTCAATAATTAAAGTGCAAAGTTTGGATAGTAGTAACATAAGAGTTTCAAGTTCATTAACACTACTCATTTATAAGAGTAGGAAGGATCAAATACTTTATAACTATATTGGAATTGATCAGGTACTTCAATTTTGTCATGTCTTTTTTTATAGTTGCAGCATATTAGCGTGAGGAATTGATCAGGTACTTCAATGGAGGGGCATAATTTTCATTTACATATTACATATCTTAATAGGAGGATCTGCTTTTTTTATTAAAAAATGTCTTCATTTATTTGGTGATAAAAACTTTATATGGTTTAGTAGAATTATATGGACCAAATGTTTAGTTGTTAATAAATGTAATGACTTTTATACCTGAATAAAAATTATTGTTCTTTTAATCCATACTCAATAGAATAAAACTATGTAATGTAAAAAAAAAAAAAAAAAAAAAAAAAAAATCTTTTTCTAATTCTTATGCAATTCGACATATGTGTGACTATGTATTGTAAAAAAAATTTGTAATGTATATGACTGTTTTGCCCTTGGTCAGATAATTAATTTTAACTTTAACAATGTAAAAATTCATGGCGGTTAATACCTACATTTTATTTCCTATTTGAAATAGATTTAAGATTTTTAGTCGTTATTACTAAAGTAATAGCTTCATAACTTTTATTTGAAATAGATTTAAGATTTTTAGTTGTTATTACTAAAGTAATAGCTTCATAACTTTTGATACAACAACACTAAAACAAGTTATGTAGTCATTATAATTTCGAGAGTGTCGTTCATGTAATGATGAAAACACATATCTGAGTGAATTCTATCATTGAACAATCCGGTCGGAATCATTGATTCCCATATTGAAGTCCGGTTGCTTGGGATTAATGTTATTGTTGGTAAACAAGGGGAATCGTGTGATTCTGTTTGCAAATCAGTTGGGAAATCTTGTGTTGGGAGTAAATTCCTGCTTATTAATCAATGTGAAATTATGCAAAAGTATATGAAATGTAGATGATCATGTCTTGCAAGTGTAGGAGCTGATCAACCTGCTGAAGTGGTTGAAGATGCCCCCACATATCTGAATCCTGGTGTGTGTTTATAATTTATACGCGAAAAGACCTTCATTGCTTTCTTGTGGTGGATCTCATCAGCATACAAGGAGACTTTGCCCATGTGCATAATGTAAAGATGTTTATTCATGTCCATTCAGTTAGGGATATGGTGAAAAAGGAATTTGTTCCATGTATTAAATATAAGTGTAGAAAAATATAAAAGGGTATTTCGAACTCTTTTTAGGAATCTGAATGGCATGAAAAATGGTAGCAATGAAGGTTTAAAAGGACATAATGGTCATTTACTATGATGAACAATGTATTTTTGATTTTTTTTATTGTAGTATTTCACACTTGCAATAAACTTAATTAATAGTAACACAAACCCAAAGATTAGAATATACTTCATAAAGAATTATGAAACAGATAATCATATTTACAAAAGCAAAGAAAGACTGTTCATGCATGACACGAGGGAACAAGAAGAATCGACCACCTGTCGATCCTTAAAGAAACAAACATGCTAAAAAAAAGGTTTCTTCATGGCTGGTATTGATCACTTAAAAAGTTCTGATTTTTATTTATATTTTCAGTGTTGACGACCAAACTGCAAGAACTATAATCACGATTAGAAGCACAATTCCAAGAATCACCAAAACCAACCAAGTCTGCATGAAAGAATGAAAATTAATTAGCTCTGTAACAACATGAAAAAATTAAGTAATAACATAATATATTTTTACCATGGAAGAGTTTGAACTGTGAGTTTTTTATGCTTTTGCAAGGTGTGATTTTGCCTGTTCAGCAATAATATGAGAATTCTCAATGTTATACCCAATAGCATCTGAAAAATAATCATTGACGTGTTATACACCAAAAATGTATGAAAAGATGAAAATTTAACAAGTAAAATGAGAAAGCTTACTTACCAATAATAGCTCCTTGCTCTTGAACCAAAATAACATCTTTGAAAATTTCATTTATTTCCCCAGTTCGTACATGGATCTATTGTATTCCCTAATCTCTTTCCAAAATGATTGCTTCATTAAATAAATGCAACTTTATATTAAACTTTTTTTTATCAAATTATTTTTGTTTTTTCTAAATAGAAAATAAAAGTTTTTTTTTCTTTAAGTCTTTTTTTTTTTGTCTTTTTCATGCAACTCTAATTTTGAACAAGGGAAATCTGGGAAGGGGCATTTTGGTCCTTTATTATCAAATTCTTTCTGATTTTTTAATAGAAAATCAAAAAAAAAATTGTCTTTTTTTTTTTTTCCTTTTTCCCATAAACAATTGACAAAGTAATCAAATCAACTATATGCTTGAGGGAAAGTATAAGGAGATGCATTTATAGGCTGCAGATACTAATTATATATACATACAAACTAAACTGGCTTTTAGGTTTAACAGGAACTGAACTACAATTATCATTAACTAATCGATTGAAATCAAACTTAACCTAACATACAAGAATGGATTACTACATCATAAGGAGTTCTATGTTAACAGCTTATAGAAAATTTCCCAGTCACACAGTAACAATAATTTTGAAATTATCGTTCTTAGTGATGAAGACTCTTGCTCTTTCCAGTGTCTTGCAAACAAGAAGCGAAAATCTGAAGTCCATCCAAAATAATCCCCTCCATTCTTTGTAAAAACATAAAGAGTAAATTACTGAAATCGTCCCTATGGTTTGGTAAAAATTACACGTTTGGTCCCTAACTTTTTTTTTTGCACTCGGATCGTCCATATGGTTTGGATTTTGTTGCGTTTTTCGTCTCTATGGTTTGGTCAAAATTGCACGTTTGGTCCCTAACTGTATGTATGTAAGGGACGAAAAACGCAACAAAATCAAACCACATGGACAAAAAACGCAACAAAATCTAATTATAGAGACGATCCAAGTGCAAAAAAAATGTTACGGACTAGACGTGCAATTTTGACCAAACCATAGGGATGATTTCAGTAATTTACTCAAACATAAATATTCAATATGTTTGAGACAATATTGCTTAACAAGATATCCACAAACGTTTTATAATGAATAAAAGGTAAGTCAAACACATATACCTAAACCCACCAAAGATTAAGCACAAAATTTGGATAAATATTCTCCAATTAATAAAAAAAATCTCAACCTAAATTGAAATTTTCATCAATTTATAACCTTTTTTCTAAAACAAACCTTAACAATTCATGTTCCACTGCGTCTGCCCATCTGAAATCCATTGTCGAACAGAGTAATATCCATCTCAGCACCAATAATCTCCGACGGTATCATCTGTGACATTTGCTTCGACTGTCACGAAGCCTTCAACGTTCCTTCGATGTTCAATTGTACTCGATACGTTCCAAAGCGCGCCTTACATTCTGCTTAGGTCAAGAATCGATATTGACATATATGGTTTCAACACCTCCATCAACAAACACGATGTTGTTTAACTTTTTTATCCTCATTCTTTACATAAACCCTTTTTTTATATTTAATCTTATTATTAATAACTAAATATACATTTTTAACTTAATTTGACTAAATATATATCACGAAAATGTGTCTTTTAAAGTAAATAAATATTATAATTTCTAAATAATCACATTTTTTTATGAAGTTTTGATGACGATTGAATTAGTCTACCGAACAAATGATAAACCCAAAATAAATAGTCGAGAAGTTTATTCTTACGTTATATTTTTACCTTTATTTTAAAAAACCCGTCAATCATATAAAAATAATATATACCGTCTATTTTTTTTAACAGTCAAACTGATTTATAAAATGTCTTTACCGTACACAAATTGGTTACAAAAACACATATCTACGTTAAACGATTTTAAGTCTATTTAAGTTTAAAATTTAGGATAATTTATGTTAAATTTTGAAATTTGATCTTTTCGATATGATAAAAATAAGAGACTCACTAATTCTTGCTAAGCAAAAAAAAAAAAATCAAAGTAAAAAAAAATATTAAAAGTAGAGATGGATTGAAAATATTAATTTTTGAAGGTTATATTGGATCCAACAAGTTTTTACTTATGAACAGTTATATGTTGCATTTTTTAGAATTAGAAGCAGAGATGGATTGAAAATATTAATTTTAAATATTTAAAGTAACTTTACCAATAAGACATGTAATATTGTATTTACGGAAGTATTTGGAATCTATGATTTCTATGAATTATTTAGAATATTTCATTAATGAATTTTTTTTGTGTAATTTGGGTTGCATTACATATGTTTTTTTTTAATTTGGGTTCAATTATATACTTACACGTATTTACTTATAAGTATTGTATTAATTTAATAATTTGTTGGTGTTCAAAATTTTATAATATTTTTAAAAAAAAACTCGTATAATACACAGGTTTTACACCTGATAATATATAAATAATCATTGTGCTTATTATAATTACACTATTTTTAAACATCTCCCTACATTATCGACTTGACACTAAACTTGCATATAAATAAGCTTAGCTGAGATGGTATATGATCTTCACCATGATTATTTTTCAGGATTTGTTATTTATTTTTGGTTATATTTCAAAACCACACTCCTACACGTTTACTCTTTGTGCATTGATGAGTCATAAATTGGATTATTTTTTATGAAGTTAATGCACACCTGACACCACCAACACATTTGAAATTCAGTTTGTGCGGATTTCAAATGTCAACGATATCCACCCACACACCAGCAGCTTTAAATATCACACCAGAGGAAATTTGCCTCAAATAGTTGAACACTTTTAATGATGAAGAAGATACAGATCTTTATCAAATCAATCAAACCACCACTTTGATCACTGTTGTTAAATGTCTAATCGTTAATCAGGTAACCACTTTGATCAAGTCTTCCTCTTTCTTCTATTACAAATCATGGATTGCATCTTTTAATCAATCAATTAAGAGCCACTTTACAATTACAATCATTTTACCTTTTCCTATTGCTGTTTTGTTTTCTTTCACATGATTATGAAGCATAAAGCAAATCCCTAAATGTGCTTCATTATACCTATTCCTGAAAGTCTACAAAACCAAACTCGCTCATATATACATAAATACATACATACATATGTTATATGTATGTATGTATGTATATTTGAAAAAGCTAAAGTAAAGCTACTTGAGCTTGCTTCTGAGAGATCCGTACACATCTTCAAGCTCCTTGACTACCTCTCTCATTGATGGTCTTCTGTTTGGTTCCGTTTCTGTACGCCTCAAAGCAAGCTGAAGCACTTCAGTCACTTGTTCCCTTACAAAAGAATCATACAGATCATCATAAAGCCCTGAATCCACAACCACCTCCAGTTCCACCTTTTCACTCCAAACAGACCTCACCCATCTCACAATATCCAACCCATCTGCAAACGAATCATCAACCGCTTTCTTCCTCGTTATCAACTCCAGCAACACAACGCCATAACTGTACACATCAGACTCCATGCTTTTCGTGTTTGTAAATGCATTTTCTGTCGAACACACACAAACATTTTCATCATCATCATCATATAATGATATATGAACAAAAAACCCTAAACCTAAAACAAAAAAAATTGAAATTACCTGGAGCAATGTATCCGATTGTGCCACGGAGTACGCCACTCATTAATGCTGGAGACGATTGATCGAGAAGCTTGGCAATTCCAAAATCTGAGATGTGAGGCTCCAATTCATCATCTAGAAGAATGTTCATGGGCTTAATATCTCGGTGCACGATAGCAGGATCACAGTCAAAATGGAGATATGCTAAACCATGAGCAGTTCCAAGAGCTATGTTACAACGAATGCTCCAATCCAACAATGGAGGTGGATGTACCTCGTGTAGTATATCATGAAGACTACCATTATGCATATACCTGTATAAAATCAACCCGTAGTTCTTTTTCATCCAAAAATCTTCCAATCTCACAAGATTCCTGTGTCTGACTTTTCCAACTGTTTCAATCTCTCTAAACATGCTTGTGCTTCCTTCTTTACTAGCTCCAAACATTAGCTTCTTTACTGCAAAAACCCCGTTTTGACCTAGTGAAGCTTTGTAAACAGTTCCATGGGCTCCTCTCCCGATTATGTACTTATCATTCAAGTCTTCAGTAGCTTGCATTACTCTTTGAAAAAGAACATCATCGTCTACTTTATCAGGATACACCTCTTCTATATCGTGTTTTTCTCTTTGTCGACATTGAAGCACGAAACCAACTCCAATAACTACTGCAAACAGAAATGCAGATGTTGCAAGGGCCACCATTGCAGTGTGGAACTTGCTAAGACCTTTCTGTTTGCTTGAAGAACCAGGACACAGCTTGAAGTTTCTGAAAGGATCACAGTTTGAGCCACAATCGACACAAAGATCTGGATTCCCTAAGAAGGAATCCAAAGAGGAATTGAGAAATTTCATTAATGGTGATGGTATTTGACCTGTGAAGAGATTGTATGAAATGTTGAGGTCAGTTAACACATGGAGCTCGGCTAGTGATGATAAAGATCCGGTTAAATGGTTGTGAGAAAAATCTATGTGCTGTAACATCACCATTTTATAGAACCCTGAGGGAAGATCACCTGTGACATGGTTTCTGCTGATGTTTAATGTGTTGAGTGACTTGAGCTCTACTATTGAAGAAGGTATTGTTCCATCTAATGAGTTTCCATCAAGTTGAAGATCTATCAGAGCCTGGAATTCAGATATGAAATCAGGGATGTTCCCGGAAAATTGATTGTCACTTAAATACAGTCTCATTAGCCCTGACATGCTCTGAAAAGCAGATGGAATTGAGCCATTGAACTCGTTATCACTTCCATCAAATTCCAAAAATTTCTTGCAATTTGCTAATTGAGATGGTAAAGGACCTCCGAATGCATTGTGGGAAAGGTTCAGTGCTTGAAGATGAACGAGGTTTCCAAGCTCCTTAGGTAAAACACCTGAAAACCTATTCATGGAGAGGATAATTTGTGATATATTCGTAAGATTACCGATGCTAGCTGGGATTTCACCGGTGAAATTGTTGTTTTCAAGGTTCATGTAATCTAGGGTTGGATTATTCACAAATTCTGGAAGAACTCCGGTGAGATTACTGTTCTCTAATCTCAATCGTAGAAGATTTGGGCAGTTTCCAAGGTCGGAAGGGATACCACCCTCGAAATTATTGAACCCTAAAACCAGTCGCTCAAGTTTCTTTCTGAAGCAAAGATTAGGTGGGATTGGTCCGGTGAAGAAGTTGTCGAGGAAATCAAGTATGACAAGATCGCTGTTCATTCCTAAACTTTGAGGTATGACACCGGAGAAATTATTAGTATACAGAGTAAACTCTTTCAATTGCTTCATCTGGGCGACTTCAATGGGTAGTTCACCAAAAAGATGATTTTCGTAGATAAGAAGGTGTTCTAGGGTTTCGATTTTCCAAATACTCATTGGAACCTCACCTGTTAAACGATTTGCAAACAAGTAAAGGGATTTCAGCTTCAGTATACCAAGCTCACTTGGAATACTACCCTCGAGTTGATTTTGATCCAGTTGAAGATCAACCAACGATGAACAATTGGCAAGCTCAGTTGGAATCCTTCCTGACAATTCATTGATAGATAGGTAAAGGAGAGTCAATTTGGTGAGTTGACCAAAAGAAGAGGGGATTTCACCGGTTAACCGGCATTTCACAACTGAGAATTGTTCCAGGTTGCTACAGTTTCCCAACTCAGGTGGAAGACGGGCGAAGTTGTTGAAAGACAAATCTAAATAGATCAAATCTTTGCAACCATTAGAACCCAAAGGAATTCTACCTTCTACACCAGCTCTATGAACATCTAAATAAGCGAGGTTAGCAAGATCATCAACGCTATCAGGCAAAGACCCAGTGAAGCGATTATTGTCGAGGGATAATTTGTTGAGCATGGTTGCGTTTCCCAAGTTCGCCGGTATCAAACCGGTCAGCTGGTTGGAGCTGAGGAGAAGAACCTCTAAACTGGAAATGTGAAAGATGGATTCCGGTATGGAACCATTGAGTGAATTGTTAGAAAGAATCAACGATTCCAAACGTAAGTTACCGAAGCTGTCTGGTATCTTACCAGTAAGGACGTTGAGCGACAGGTCCAGCTGTTGAAGACGACTGCAATTGCTTATCGATGAAGGAATTTGACCGGAGAGATGGTTAGAACTCAAATTCAATGATTTTAGTTGGGTTAACCGGGAGATTTCCGGCCCTAATTCACCAGAAATTTGAGAATTTGATAAGTTCAAAGAGATTACGAGCTTGTTTCGATCACAAAGAACCCCAACCCACAAACAAGGATTTGCATCGGAAGCATTCCAGGTTGATACGACTGATGGGGGTTTAGAAATCCAATGGCGTGAGAGTGACAGTAACGTTTCGCCATCGGAGCTCAAACCAGATACAGAATAGAATGGAGGAGGCAGGAAACAAGCTACCATTGACAGGTAAATTAAGTCAACCCTGATCTTCATTAATGTCGGAGAGAAAGAGGAAGCTGGAAGAGATGAGCGTACTGTGTATTTTTGGTGAGTGATCGGAATACACTAGTGGTAGTGGAGGAAGTTGCAGAGTGATTTATTGGATGCTTTATTCAAAAAAGGTCTTCGTTCTTTGTGTTTACCTCGAATCTCAATCAAATCACCTCAAAATCATCATTACGTGTGTTCTTCGTCCACATCACACCCTTTTCTTTTTTAAAAACCCACGAGGTTTTAATGTGAAAGCAAACCGAATTTGAACTAGATACTGATGATTTAATTCTGTTCTCAGTGGGATGCTCTGTTTTCTTGAAATTTAGCAAAGCCGAAAGTGTTTCTAGTCTTTCGATCTTTCTTTTATTTTATAGATTGAAGTTTGGATGTTTCGTACGAATTTCCAGATAAGAGCATGTTCGTGTTTAGGTGGATCTCTATGGACTACTACTAGGGTTGAAGCCCTATAGGAAACAAAAAAAACAACACTTCTTGATTAGTTGATTATTTATCCCAACAAAAGTAAACAACACACATGTCAAACAAATTAGTGATGACACTACAACTTTTTGAAAGAATGAATTAACAATTCTTTCTTTTTAACATGAGCTGGTTTACATGAATAATTAAATCAGTCGATGATAAAAATTCAACAGTCGTTTTATATTCTTCATGTTACTCGCGTTTCCAACTGCTACCAATTTCTTTAATTTGTATGTGATGCAACCAAACAGATGAGTATGAGCGAAATCAATAATATTATATCGAGTTAAAAAACAAAAAGATAAAACCAGGTAGATATTTAAGTATACAACAACAAACAACCAACAAGCCATAATTAACAATTATCCGATGCTTTTGAAGGAAGATTTTGTATCTTCAAGACACTTTACAACCTCTCTCATCGATGGTCTTCTTGTTGCTTCCCATTTTGTACATCTCAAAGCCACCAATAACACATTTTCCACTTGTTCTCTAATCATGGTATCATCAATTTCATCTAAAACCTCATCATCTACAATCTTCTCAAGCTCCTCTGTGTCCCTCCATGTTGACCTAACCCATGACACCAAGTCCATGTTTCCTGTTCTTTCCATTAACAAAGGATCAAGAACCTTCTGTCTGGTTATGAGCTCCAGCAAAACAACCCCATAACTATACACATCAGACTCCATGCTTTTCGAACTTGTAAACGCATTTTCTGAAACAAAAATCAATAACCAAATAAATGAGAATATAAACGTAATAAACAAGAGTACAAACAGAAATAAATGTATAATCAATCTCTCTACCTGGAGCAATGTATCCTAGTGTCCCCATAAGTAAAGTGGTTTGTGGTGAAGCAGTAGAGTGATCAAGAAGCTTAGCAATGCCAAAATCCGAGAGATGAGGGTCCATGTCAGCATCTAAAAGAATATTCATGGGTTTGATATCTCGGTGCACGATAGCAGGATCACAGTCAAAATGAAGATATGACAACGCCTGAGCTGTTCCTAATGCTATCTTGTACCGAATACTCCAATCTAAGTTTAAACTTCTTCTCTCATGTAGAACATCATGAAGGCTTCCGTTTTTCATATACTTGTAAAGAATCAAACCGTATTCTTTTTTTATCAAGAAATCTTCAATTGTCACAAGATTTCTATGTCTCACTTTTCCAACTGTTTCCACTTCACGTATCATACTTGTATGTCCTCCTTTTGTTCTTCCAAAAGCAAGCTTTTTTACAGCATACACCTTATCATGACCTAAACAAGCCTTGTACACTATTCCATGGGCTCCTCTCCCAATCATATACTTATCATTCAAGTTCTCAGTAGCTTCCAGAACTTTTATCATCAAAGTAGAAACACCCACACCCCCTTCACCAAGCATCTCAATGTCTTGTTTTTGTTTTCTATGAAGAAAAAGCACCAGATAAAGTACAAGGAGAACAGCAGCTACAAACAGACATATTCCAATGGCTATCATTACATATTGCTGTTTGCTCAGTTGTTTCTTGCTTGATTGAAGAACACAAGGTTTGAAATTGCCACAAAGACCTGGATTTCCTATGAATGATGAGTTGGATATGTTGGAAGATGACAACAAGATTGCTGGAATTGGCCCTGTGAAGTGATTAAAAGAGACATTCAAGTCAACCAGTCCATGGGTGTCACTTAGTGATGCTAAATCCCCAGTTAGATTGTTGAATGAAACATCCAAATATTCTAGCATTAACATCTTCCCAAAATCAGAAGGAATATCGCCTGTTAATCTGTTTCTGCTGAGATTCAAGTTACTTAAACTATGGAGCTCTACTATCGATGAAGGAATGTTTCCACTGAATGAATTCCCACCTAAATCAAGGCTTATTAGATTTTGGAGTTGAGATATGAAATGTGGAATTTCCCCTGAAAAACGATTCTCTTTTAGAGTTAAAGTTGACAACCGAGTCAACTTTCTAAAGCTATCAGGGATCGAGCCAGTTATCGAGTTATGACTTGCATCGAATTCCAACAACCTGCTACAATTGGAGAGTTGAGATGGTAAATGACCTTCTAACCCATTGTAGGAAAGATTCAAAACTTGAAGCTCCACAAGGTTTCCAAGCTCAAAGGGTATCTGGCCATGGAGTTTATTCATGGAAACATCAATCTCTGTGATATTTGTAAGCTTCCCAAAGGTAACAGGAATTTCACCATTGAAGCCATTTTTCTTAAGGTTCATGTACACCATGTTATGATTCTCAACAAATTCAGGAAGAACACCCGTGAGGTTGTTATGTTGCAAGATTAATCTTGAAAGACTAGAACAGCTTCCAATGTCATGAGGTACACTGCCTTCAAGATTATTAAAACCCAAAAGTAGCCTTTGTAGATTCTTCCGGAAGCATATGTTTGGTGGAATCTTTCCTGTGAATGAGTTATTTGTGAAATCGATTATCATCAATCTGCTATTGATTCCTAACCCCTGAGGTATAACTCCAGAGAAACGATTGTTGTACAATGTAATCTCTGTTAATTCTTTCATTTCAGCAAGAATATTAGGTAGTTCCCCAGAAAGATTATTGCTGTATATGTTAAGCTTCTTGAGGCCTTTAATCTTCCAAATCTCCATAGGGATCTCTCCCGTCAAATGATTATTGAATAACTGAAGTATTTGCAGTTGACTTAACATCCCGATTTCGTTTGGGATATTTCCCTCGAGTAGATTAGCATGGAGTTCCAGATCAACCAAGGAATTACAATTCCCGAGCTCAGGTGGAATCTTTCCTGAGAAACGATTAATGGAAAGATGGAGGGTGGTCAATGAAGTGAGTTGACCAAGAGAAGAAGGAATGAGACCACTTAAGCCACAGCTAACAGCAGCAAGCTGGTTTAAGCTACTACAGTTTCCCAGTTCATGAGGAAGAACGCCATGGAAATTGTTGAAAGAAAGATCCAAATACACCAACTCCTTACAATTGCCACCATTAAAACGAATGATGCTACCCTCTAGACTGTTGTTATGAACATCAAAAGTAGTAAGGTTGGGAAGATCATTTAGGGCAACAGGTAACGTACCCGTCAACTGGTTGTTACCAAGCATGAGTGTCTCCAAGCTACTGCAATTCCCAATGGATGAAGGAATGGAACCCGAGATTCCATTGTCGTTCAACTCCAAGTCTAGTAGCTTGCTCAGGTTACCTATGTTGAACGGAATCGGACCACTAAGCTGGTTAAAACTGAGGTAAAGTGTTTCCAATTGGGGATTGTGAAATGAAAATTGGGGTATAGATCCAGTAAGAGAATTATCGTAAAGACTCAAGACTTTCAAGTTTTGCAGATTCCACAGGCTTTCTGGTATTCTCCCTGTGAGGTGGTTTAAGGACATATCCAGTTCTTCGAGACGACTACAGTTCCCGATTTGCGAAGGGATAGAACCAGTGAGCTTATTGCTATAAAGACTCAACTGCTTTAAAGAAATCAAGTTCCCTAGACTCTCTGGTATTCTTCCGGAAATAACGTTGTAGGAAAGATCTAAATGATGAAGAAGGGTGCAATTACCGAGTTGTGAAGGGAGTGAACCATATAGATTGTTATAGCTCAAGTCAATCGATCTAATGTGGTTCAAATAACCGATTTGTGGGGCTATTTGGCCAGATATGAGGTAACTGGATAGATTGAGAGCATCGACATGATTGGTGGTAATGTCGCAATGAACTCCAACCCATGAACAAGGTGTTGGGTGTGAAGCATTCCAGGTAGAAGAAAGGGATGGGGGTATTGATGTCCAGTGAGTCATGAGTGATAATAAGTGTAACCCATCGGAGTTTATCCCAGAAACAAGTGATGATGGAGAAAGATAAACCAACCCAAACAGAAACAAGAAAAACATAATCGAAAAAGTCATTCTTTTCGTTTTCTGGAAGTATTATAAGGCAGGCGAATTCAAGAGGAGGGGATTACACATTTCTTTAAAAAGATTCGTACTTGAAGAGTTGCAGCTTGAAGGAGTTAACTAACCTGGTTGAAGGAAGTGAGTGCAAGTAGCTAGAGTTGCAGGTCCAAAGACTTAAACAGTGAGCAGGACATAGATGAAGGTAAGTTAGAAAGAGACGTGAGAGTGAGAGTGAAAGACAGGCAAACATGGAGAAAAGAGAATGGTGAATTAATTGGTGATAAAAAAAAGGAAATGAAGGTTTTTAATTCAACGCGGTTTCTTGGGGGAAGTGTGAAAGGTTTGACGGTTTGACGGTTCGATTTGGACATTCTTAAATTGAATGTTGTCTTCTTCTTGGAACTGGAACCAGAAGTAGAAGAAGGATTTTGCCACGTTATATCTACAGAATAACAGAAAAGTAATACCCATTATCTGTATCTGTGGCCCACATCGCTATCTTCGTTCTCATACGACAAAATTACATAAATGTTGTAATTTATAGAAAATCATTATTTTAATCTTTAACTTTATTTTTTTTCTTGAAATAGATGGTTCTAACCGTCTAAATATCCGATGTGTTTCTAAAGTTTTACTTCGCTACTAAGCCATATAAAATAATTTCTTTTTTCTTTTTTTTTTATATTTTTCGTAAAGAAAAACACCACACACACCCAACTTTTGTTTGTTGCAGTTCACAGGTACCACTACCCCATCCTCTCATTTCTCTCTCAGCTAAGACCAGTAACACAAAAATATGTCGTTCTCCTCCATCAATAGGGCCTAGAACAACAGCGGATGCATAACAAAAACTCAAGGGTTGTACACTTGATTTTAGGGGTTGTACGTCGGAAAATTTTGTTGAATTAATATAACTAAATTGGTATACATTTATGAAATAAATAAATAAATGAATAAATTTTTTTTTTGGATTGTCCTCATGAACTAGAAATAATTAGAAACAATTTCAAGAGGATGAGAAAACGATTTATTAATTTATTTGGTTAATTAATTAATTAGAAATTGTTAAAAATTAATTGGAGTGAGCACCGAAGAAAGACGTGAAGAGGCTTGGAAGAAGGGAAAACTTTGGGTGTGTGAAAGGTGAGGGTGGTGGTAGTAGTAGTGGACAATTGGACGATGGAAGAAAGGTGGCGTAGAATGGGATGGGTACCGTGGGTCATTTCTAATTTAAGAATAATAAAGAGATTAAATTAAATTATAGAGTAAATTACACGGATGGTTCTTATGCTTTGGGATAATTTGTGTGTTTGGTTTCTATCTTATTTTTTAACTCGGAAAGTCCCTACTATTTGTTTTTATTACGCGTTTGGTTCCTACTGTTTGTTTTTGTTACATGTTTGGTCTCTGTCTTACTTAAAAATATTATTATTTAAATAGAAAAAAATAGTGGAATAGGTAAGGTAAGGTGATGTGGCAGGGTTTGGGGTGTGTTTATTTAAATAAATTAAAAAATCAAGGACAAATAGTTTTTTAGGTAAGAAATAGACCAAGCGCGTAATAAAAACAAACAGAAGTGACCTTCCGAGTTAAAAAAATAACTTAGGGACCAAACGTGCAAATTACCCTAAACCATAGGGACCATTTGCGTAATATACTATAAACTATTCTTAATAAAAAAAAAATGTTAATCTACCAACACGAACTGTCAACGTAACTTCTAACTATGTTTGCAATGGTTTTCGTTTCGACTTTTCTGCCGTAAAAAGTAGCACATCTTAGTCAAAGATTCAGTAAATCTAAGAGTTAATTCAAAATAAGACATTAAGTTACTAAATTTATGTTCATTCAGCCATTAAATTTTACTTTTTTTTTTTGAACCGGCTGATAAGATATATTAATAAAAAAAAAAAAAAAAAAAGACAGTACACAGCCACAATTAGTGGCGAACAAGGAGCAAGCAAAAAACAAAAAAGAAAGAAAAATAGAAGGCAAAACTGGAAGAAGAGAAATTCAGAAATCCAGTAGTCATTGAGACCATGTTGCCCAGGTAATCCTATCAAGCTTTTCCCTGTTTTTTGCCTATAGATAAGTCACTGATTTTATCATGTCAATGACTTTGTCGGGTGGGATCCAGTTCTTTTTGAAAACTCTTTCATTCCTTGATTTTCAAATGCTCCATAAGGCTCCATAAAAAGAGTCCTACTCCTGTTATGACCCAACCCCCGCTGAGAAACTGAGTCCTCGACCTCCTTAACCGTATGACAATCCGCCGTGTTTACCTTACACCAACTTGAAATCCCTTCAAATACATGTCTGGCATAACGGCATTCAACCAGCACATTCATCGTGTTCATTGCACTTGGGACAGGTCGAAGATTCCAAATTTTACTTAAGCCATAAAAAGTCATAAAACTTGTTATTTTATATTTAAAATTGTCATTAATAAAACTTGTTATTTTATATTTAAAATAGTTGAATAGTTGAAAACCTAGCCGATAAAAAATAAATTTTGATAAAAACTAGTTGATAAACTGGTAGGAAAATATAAAAATGATATAAAAGTTATTTATAAAAATAAGTTTCTTATAACTAATTAAAGGCATATCTGGAAAAAAAATTCTGAAAAAGTAATCTAAATAATTTTAAAATTGTCAAAAAAAAAAAAAAAATTGCTTGCTAAAGGTAAACTATAATACCTTTGATAAAAGTGTTCGTAAACTATGATTTCTTGGAAATTTTACAAGTAGCACGTACATGGTTTCACTCAATATTTTGTCCAATATCTCTATGGAATGAGACAACTTTTGAAAAAGAAAAACATGACTTGCAGAAAAAATGTGAGTGGTCAATCGGTATAATTTTTGAATAAAATGAATACAATATGGTATTTCTCGTATCGTATCCACCTTTAATATGTCCGCGGCGTACTCTCGTTGTATCGAAGATGGGTCTTTAGTTCGTGAGCATCTGTCTGTGATCACCTATGAGTCACATACAATACAAGAGGCCAATTGGATTGGATCAACTTCACATAAAATACGTATTTAAATGTAAAGTCTTAAGATTTCTCTAACATGCCCTTCTAACCTAAAGTGTAAAATCTCACATCACATCACTTGTCGTTTTTCCAGATTTAGCGAAACGATTTCACATTTTGTTGAAATATCTTAGAGAAAAGGCAACACGAGAGCAAAAACATACCCCACAACCTAATCCTATAAGGCTATAACCACCACTATCATTATTGCTTTCCACTTCCACAACAAGCAATTGATGATAAACCAAGTTGTAAATTAGGAGTTATGCTTCATTTTGACATGTTCAATTTCAGGACCATAACACCACCATATCAATTTTACATCTTCATTTTTCTTCAACTAAATTACAAACTTCTGAGTTTTATATTGGTTTAAGAAGTAAATCCAACCCTATACGATTTCAAAACTTGCATATTTTGAGTTATTAAGGACAGAGGATGAATTTGTAATTTTCTATTTTTCTTATTTTCTATTACATACAAAGACACTGCAAGTTTAAATTTTCCATTTAGACTGTTGATGTTTTTCTCATAGATCAACCAAAAAAAATACAAGTCAAAAGAAGTCAACCCATCAAATTTTCTAGACTTGCTTCAAATTTCGATTTTGTATCTCCATCATGGAGTATGACTATGATGATAATCATCTTCTCTTTTCTTTTCTTGCCAACACTTGCTGCATTTCAACATTCAATGAAAAAAAAAATACATCAAAAATCCAACCCTAACCCAACTTCATAATCATCATCATTTACTAATATTACCTGAAACAAAAGAGCAGTTCAGTCCTTGATCCTGAAAGATCCTCCATGGTGTATGTGCTTTCTTTGATCCCTGAATTTTTAGATTGTCAAATTATGGCCTAGATGATGATGATGATTATGATGATGATGATGATGTCATGCTAATTATTATTATAAACTCATGCCATGAGATGCTTGATGACATGACATGAAATCATTTCCTCCATTTCCTTTGAACATACACTTACAAAAACATGAGATGACAAATGTAATGTAGAAAATAATTCCATAATAATGACAGATGTGATGAAAAAGAAGAAAAATCAAACATAACAACACCCACAATCTATAACATATAAGTCAACAAGATGCTTAAAATGCATACTACTAATAATACACTAAGACATATATGCTCACACAAACCCTAACCCTCTCCAATTACATGCAAGTGATATGCTAATGCATTGTTCATGAGCATGAGCATGACTTGATGATGATGATGATGATGATGATGATGATGAAATGGATGCATGCCCACCACCAATATGCATCCTATCAGTAACAGTATGTTCTTTTTTCTCAAAGTCAAAGCATAGAAAATAGACAGAGTACATCCCCTTCCAGCTACTGGTAACTAACAACTGCCAGTGATCCATTTGACACTGGATATCCACCACCATCCTTCCTTTTCCCAAATGGATTCTTTGAATATGTTTTCTCAGGTTAAAGAAAACAACAAAAAGATAAAAAAATATATTTATATATATATATATATATATATATATATATATAATATATATATTATATATATAATATATAACCAAACACAAATGTATGAGAAAATGTATTAAGGATATTGTATTCGCATGCCAACAGAAGTGGAACTAGGGATAACAGCCCCCTGCAACATATGATGCACATTTGTTGCACTATTCACATCCTGTGGAGATCAATCATCAACAAAACACAAGATTTTAATTAAAAAACATGATGTAGTTTCCAGAAAAGGGCAATTCATAAGCCATAATAAAGTGAAAGTGAAAGTGAAACAGAATCTTAGTATACCTCAAACTCAATAAAGCAAACAGTGTGCCTTTCTTGTCTCAAAACCTTCATCTGCTTAAATCCAGGTTGCCTGCATTTGCACAAGTACAACAAGTGTTTCTAGATAAATAAAAACATTCACTAGTAGTAGTAGATATACACGAGAAAAACCTTTAAGGGGTAAAAAGAGAATCTTACACACTGAAAAGTCCTCTTAGTTCTTCTTCGTTTATGTTCTCCCCAAGATTTCCAATAAACAGGGTGTTACAAGGAGGATTATCTTTTGTGTTCTAAAAATTGAATAAGATATATAAAATGAGCACTTCAAGTTCTGCATAGTTTTAATAAAAGGATCAATCATCAGCACCTGAATTGGCATATAACTGCTAGGTGCAGGTACAGGAGCAGGAGGAGGAGCCATGGGTACTTGAGAAAGAGGATAGGCTCCATAAGGGTCATATGGTGGTGGTGGTGGTGGGGCCATATACCTAACAAATTTAGATAAAGATCATATGATTATATATGATATAAAGAGTAAGAACATAGCCAATAAATACAGATCAAAGAGCATACCAGCTTCTGGAAATGTAACATTTTCCTTCATACAAACAAACTATGACATAAAAAAAAATACTAACCCATGTGGACCCCAAACAGGTGGAGGTGGAGGATGGAATGGGGATGGGCTTGAGAACCCAGTGTGTGTATAGTCGCCACCTGTCCGCATTCGTTTACTTTGATCAAAAGAATTTGGATCAGGTATTATTCCTGCAGAACAAATGAACAATAAATGACATCACATAATATGGAAGAAATCCAACAGTTGGCATTGGTTTACAATGGGGGAAACCCTACAAGAGTTTGATGTAGCAGGATAATATGTGCTTGGTAGGTTATCATGGCTTACTAGCTATAAGATTCACAATTTTGGGAGTTTCAATATATGTATATACGAGACAACCTAAAGTGAACACAAACCTGCAACAATATACAAGACACTGTGGCTTTGTTCGCACACAAATCAAGGTATCTAAACTTAATGAAAGGAAACTCACCCCGTTTCACAAACAAATTTTTCTTGGCCATTTCTGTGTGCAAGACTGACTTCGATTCAGCATCAAAAACCATATCCTAGGCCAGAAAACATAACCGATAAGCATACTCATTATACATCTTTTAACAAGTGAGCATATGGAATTACGGATTACCTGAAGGGTGTCTCTGGCAGCAACAGCAAAATGCGGTGCGGAGAAAAGAGCAAAACCCATAGGGACTTCTCCTTTGAAGTTAACCTGCGAAGCTTCGAACCCGGGTAACCATCTTAGCAGATTCTGCAGTTCTCTCTCTTTAACGTCCTCCGGTAAACCGGATATGAAGATCGTCCTAACCTCGTCAACGGCGAGACGATTGTCCATTGACATGGGAGAATGGTGCGAGTGTGGAGATGGATTCGGAACAACGACGGCGCCAGTAGGAGCTTGGGCCGGTGGCCACTGTGGATGGTATTGATGCATTCCGTTACCGGCCATCTGTTGTCTTGATCAGTGGATTTGTTCACAAATACAAGATTTCCTGCATCTAAAATAGAGTTTTTAACTTAAATTTGTACAAATACTCCTACAACTACTCGATGAAATTTATCTAACTCAGATTTATAGATTTACAAAAGAGTTTTGACACATTTAAACAACAAAGGTAATGGAAAACTTACAGAATCAAAGAATGGAGCGGCAATCCAGAATAAAGCGATGAAAACAGACGATGTATTAGGTTTTCTCTCTGAGTTTTAACCCTAATCGCACAGACTGGGTATTTGGTTAAGAAATGAAATGAATCATTGCTGCTTATTTTGCAACTGTTCAGTAATACAATTGAACTTATTACCAACCAATCCTTCAAATTTCTTATTATATATATTCAATTCCTTTTTACTTCTAACTTGTCAACTTCAACCCTCCAACTCTCTCACTTTTATCTATCAAGCACAACTCGTATTTATCGCATTGTTAATTCCTTTAGATCGGTTTGCTTGGCCAGAATGGAATGGAATGAAATAGATCAGTCAATGAAATGGACAATGCAATAAAATAGTTGATTACCATTTTCTACGTTTTGCTTGGTTACTTTATTGGAAACGATCTATCTATTCATGTTGTTTGGAAGATAAGAAAAAACATATTAATAAAATAAAACTAATATGTAATGAAAATCGTTGCATTAGGAAATGGGATCTCCCATCCGGCAATCCCCTACTAAATCTTAAAATATACACCATAAAAATGTATTGTTAAACTTAATTGGTCAATATATTTGTTTATATAAATCAATGAGTATTTATAAATGGGATATTCACATAAATGAACCTCGTTTCAAAGAAAATGTATGTGTTTCTTTTTTTTTTTTTTTTTTTTTTAGTCTTGGATTAGTCATTTTGGACCATTTTGACAGTTGCTCTCTAGGCCTCAAGGAAAGAGGTAACTATAAGAGGTATGAATGGAACAAGAAGGAAGAGGTCTTTGTTGTTTTCCTTCATATAGTAGTAATTTTCAAACTTTTATGATGAAATCACACCACATATTATTTTGTATTCATTTTTAGTTATTATAGAATCTATATCTTATCTATAGAATGGTCTTGTTATTCATCATAAAGAACATTAACATATGTCTTATATACGCTTTCATATTTCTTGATTAAACATGGAAACAAGTTTTAATATAACGAAGCATTCAATGATTCTATTATGGTTTCTGATACACATACATAGTTTTGAATGCATGCACAATACATTAATAAGCATTATTATGATGACCATATCTAATAAACATGCACTTTATAATTTTATGTAATATGGTAAAGCCTAGCTCGAAGCTACGGATATACCCTCACTAACCGAACTAGGTATATCCCGAACCATGTATATATCGAACCACGTATATATTGGACGAAGTATATATCGAACCAGATACCTACCGTATGTATAAGTACCTAACCTCAAAAAAATAATGACTAAGATACAGATTGATGTCACAACAGTGTTATCATACATTGGGACTCTAAGAAGACAGTTTGTATTATGATACATGATTGTATTATGATACATGACTGATAGATCATTTAATCAATGAGAAACAGTTGTCAAACGGCTAACATGTACATAAAATTGTACCTTTGGGCATATGGCCTTTAACATGACAAGATGGCAAACCTGCTCGATACAAGAAAAGGTCATAGCCTCCTAAATATCAACTATAAATAAGCAACGAAAATCATTTTACAATGTACGCAAAAGACATACAATGTTCTATTAACCCTTAATCGACTCTCGACATACTCTTAGAGTCTTTTCGTACTTTATTATCAGATCGTTGGTCCGGGACCCTCTCCCAACCACTCAGCTTACGAGTTATGTGTTGTCTCCAAGTTAACTTAATAGTGAAGAAGTCAATAGTTCTCACAGACCATGGAAATTAAACCAGGAGGCACGTCAATTGGCACTATCTGTGGGACTCCACAACAAATGGTCGAGGAAGAAAACCCAATTGTCGATGTGAGTCCTATCACGTGAATGCAAAACCTCAAAGAAACGCCACAGATTGCAATAGTAATAAAAAAACAAGAACGTCACACTAGAATGCCTATGAGAAAAAAGATGAGAAATGTGTAACGTCCCAAAATTATGAGGTAAAAATTTCATTTTTAATTCAACAAAACATTAATTATCTTTTAGACAACATTCAATATCCTTTTTCTAAATATTCAAAAGTACTTTATAAGGAAACAGTTATCAGAGTACAATCCCAAAATCATCATAATGCGGAAACATGGGTGGATGCGCTACGATCAAGCCTGATGGATTTTGAGAATTCTAACACTCATATGGTGTACATGCAACCCTAGAAACCTTAGATCTATGTTTTCTATAATATTCATGCAAATAAGAATTTTCCAAGGTTTACATCTGAACTAGCATAACATGGGGAACTTGTAATATAAAAACTAGTAGAATGACATACCTTTCTTGTAGCTTGGATTCCTTAAGACCTTGTGAGCCTAGCACCTCAAATGTGATGCCTCAAATGTTTCACACAACACCACAACTCTTGGAATAACTTGAGAAGAGAACACTTTCACTCAAAATCGGCTAGCCCACCTAGTCTTACAATAGTGGCCGATTTTGCTAGCTATGGGGCTCTTTATATAGCGTGCCACATGTAGGGTTACACCATGTAAACCCTAACGTGCATAGCTTTTCATTTCCCCCATGATCCATGGGTTATAACCTCCATAGAGCACCCAATGGGTCCTAGCCCAATCTAGTGAATCATGAACCATAAGGTCACTATATAAGAATGAATGGTTTACAAATCAATCCCCATATATTTAATTGGTCTTTTTTTTATCACAAAATTAATTCCAAATTAATTCTTGATCAATACTAATTAAATAATATGATTTCATATTAATATATTAGAACTTATAATATATTAACAAATCGTAAGTGTCCTTTTTCTCATTTTGTCTATCCAACAGTTGAGATGTCGATGCAATCTAAATGGACCATGCCAAGTCAGGTCAAGTACATACTAAATATAGTTATGGACTTAGACACTTTATCCAACAAAGTCGTGTCATTCCCTTTCGAGTCGGAAGTACTTGAAACTATAACCAAAAAAACCGTAAGCACAAAGCTTAGTAAGTTCCCCAAAAAACTGCATACCACACATACCATTGGGCCTAGCCCTCACATTGGGCCCAGTGCGCATATTGGTCCCAACCCACCATAATGGGCCTACTGGTGCCAATCTAATGGGCATAACCCGATCATACAAATACAAAAGTCACAAAGATAGTTAGCACCTACATAACATACAATAGGCCTAGCTTAACATACAAATGGGCCTATACCGACACACAATGGGCCTAGCCCAACATACAATGCAAGAGTCACAAAGACAACTAGCATAACAAAACCGAGTGGGCCAACATTGCCTTCGACCCACGAGTACAGTGAGGAGACTCACCTTAATCCGATGATAATCAAATAACTGATCGGGCCACTGAACCGGATAACCTCGCACCAACTAACAATAAATACAATCTTAATCAATAATTATCCCCGATAACCCAAAATGCGAGTCCCACTCCATAAACCAACTTCCTAAAGAGTAAAAAGACCATTTTACCCTTTTCTTACTTATTCCATAACCAAGGTCCAACCTAAATACATAAAAGCCCAAAATGGCAACCCAAAGCCCAAATTGTGCCTAAAAACTATCATGGGAACAATTCTAAGAAGGCCCCATAGCCAAACCATGGCCCAAAATCAGAAGTCTAATGGCCCAACAAGTCCCAAAATGTCCATTCTGGGGAGTACGCTCTACGTATCAGAGACGTACGCACTGTGTACTCAACAATGAAGCACAAGGTATAAACGATTGATGCACGATACACCCATTACGCTAAGCATACTCCTACGTACACCCAACATACCCATCAGAGACCAAAAATCCATATTAAGCTCTTAATGGTTAAGCCAATGACTTCCCAACTCATATATGACCCTAATGAGATGTCTTAACACGTAAAGTTAGCAACTTTACCCCTTTGCATAACTTAATGGGACCAAATCCTCAATAAAATACATAATAAGCACCCCAAATGCATGCACGGTCCAACACAACTCATCAAGATGACATTTTTATGAACAAAGGACTTCACAAATGCCAAGATTCAACATTCTAAGCTCATGGAGTAGCTTAAACTCACATAGATGACTCTAAGGACCAAAATGAACCCAAAACATTCCTTAAACTAGATCTAACACTTAGAGACATCAAGTTAGAAACTTTATACCTCTAGAAGGTAGATCAAGATGCAACAAGCATGGATCCAAAAAGCTTCAAGCAATCTTATACTTCTCCAAAAAACTCATTCTTCTTTTATGAACACCAAAATGCATGAAATGCTACCAAAAGCTCAAAACCACTCAAATGGGGGCTAGGGTTTCGTTTCTAGGGTTTAAAGGGATGGAGGCTGAAGATAATAGGGTTTGATGGTGAGTTAAGGAGCTTAAATAGTGTCCACAACCCTAAATTAGGGTTTAGGTCTGACTGGAGTACGCCATGCGTAATTCTGGTACGCCCAACGTACTCCAAAGAGCACCTGCGATGCATCTGCCTAGTATACCCATCGTACTCCTATGTACGCCATGCGTACTAGGCTTAACACTAGTATGCCCATCGTACTCTTATGTATGCCCCACGTACTAGGTTTAACCCTATAACCACCAAATTTCCGAAGACCATAACTTTTTCGTTGTAAATCTGATTTCGATGATCCTTATATCCACGAAAAGATAAAGAGAAGCTCTACGTTTCTATCAACTCATCCTTGCCTTAAAACTTTCTGAACAAAAATCCAATATTCATAAAAGCTCGAACTGACACTTTACCAATATACCCCTTGGTTCCAAAACACAAACCAAACTCCCGGATCACCTAAATTACATTACCCACACCCAAATGGGTCTAAATTTCTCTTTCCTTACATGCTCTGAGCCTGATGATAACCGATATTCGGGTCACAAACCCGAATTAGGAAACGATACGGAACGGGGTGTTACAAAATGAGTTAAAATAACTTACAGGTGGAAGAGATGGAAATGGAGGAATTCGAAACCTTCAAGGTTTTAGAGCCATAAGAAAATGGCAGATAGAAAGAAGTGAGTGAAAGGATCAAAAGGAGAAGGAATGGGATTTTGTTTCAATGCACAACAGTCAATCGAGGGACTTAAATGAAATGGAAGTGAAAGCCTAAGGAAATGAAGGAAGGTCGATCAGAAAAGAGAAAAACAAAAAAGAAGTAAGTTAAGGACCTTCACATCCTGAAAAAAGAAGAGAAGAACTCTAAAAAAGATCAAGAAGTAACACCATAGGTAGTAGAAGCAAAGCAATAC